ACCCTTTACATCTTAATATTCGTTATCAACAATATGTGACTAGATAATTTCTAACTTCGAAATAAACGGATTAGTTTCTAAAATAATAATTCGATACATAAGAATTTTTCTAGTCCACTCCAGTCAAAGACTTTTTTCCAGTCCACTTAGAAATTTATCACTAAGAAGCCTTATAACCCAAAAGTGTTCTGTATAAATAATCCATGAGCCTCTCCTATATAGCATATTTAATTAAAGACGCATTGCAATAGCTCCATCTACAATACTTGTCTAGTATACAATTGCACAAAGCCACCATTTGTACGTTTTCATAAAAACGTATGTCTTTAATAGCTTATCAGTTCTGTGTATATTTGAACAGCTTTCCAAAGATCGGTCAATAAAAGCATTGCTGTAACTGTCAATTATTTATCACCATTAGCAAGTAACTCAGTTATTATCGCTCTGCAAGATTTGCTAAATTTGAAAATAAGCAAAATAGTCAAATCATTAGAGCTAGTTTGAGAATTTATTTCCAACATGTTCGAGCAATAGATCGTATTATTATTTTGATTTAATGCATTACCGCCTAATTTGCTGAAATCTGATACCAAATGTGTTTTGTAAATTGAAATGATATTGGGCTCCCTGAAGTCAGCCGTAAGACCTGCTGCAAGACCGGCGGACCTAAAGTTCGACGGGTTCGGTTTCAAAGAAAACTCTCCAGAAATTCATCTTAATTTCAAATATCACATCACTTAATGATAAATGCCAGCTCTCAACTCACAGTGGCTGATTTTCAGTTGGTATAACATTGTTCTATTCGTATCGACTTTCGAAACGGTTCTTTTTGAAAGCGATTAATCGCAATTATGTAGATCTTCTTTCCACTGGGATGCAAGCAATAGCAGATGATGACCATTAATTGAATTTAATTATTTACTTTACATTTTAGCACGATTAAATTGGCAACATCGAAGTTATATTTCCCCTAACTTTGACCCTACAATATATAGCAGTTTTCGTTTGTTTTGTGCAAGTTGAGATTATTTTTAGGGGACGATGTTATATGTTACTCTCTTTATTTCATTGTCAGGCTCTCTATGTCATATTAAAAAAAATTATATAGTTATTAGAGTTTATTTTAATATAACGCCGAATTACGGTGTGCCTCAACAGATCCAGACACGGATCGTTGACAACGGTTTCCTTGGTGGAGAGTTCGTAGTTATTAACTTTATAATTTTGAGAAATAAATGAAAATAGGAAAATATTAGTGATAAGTATAGTCTTTTCTTGTGATGTTTGCCGTCATCATCGCCAAAATGAATTCTGACACCAGCTTGTGTCATTAAAATTCAGCACCTGACGGCGACAACATTTGTGACTGCTTATTAAATGCTTCATGAAGTGATGAATAAATATCAAATATATTTATTCAAATATATATTAAATATCATGTTTCATGTGATGCTGCCAACAAGGTGAGGGTTTGATTCTCTCTCCGATGCATGTTTCTTATCAGTGACTAAATGTTTTTCATTTACTAGAATATTGCAATACTGCAATTCAGTGGAATTTACGACGTTATCTTTAATATTCGAAGCATTGTGAGTAAAATTCCACACAACTAAATTCATTTTAAAAATACGTGACATTCAAAATTTGAGTATCATGTGTATGTGTAAATTGAGCATTATATTAAAATGTCCCTTGGAAACCTGATATTTGGATTTTCACTTCCTATCAAGAGCTTAATTCGCCGAATCGAGAAAAATAATAAGAAAATTGTCAATAAGAAATACTCTCTGGTCTTCAATGAAACCTGCATTGAGCATTATGTGTATGTCTAAACTTTGATATTGCAGAACTGTTATAAATCAAAAATAACGTCGCGGGAGGCGATCAGTTTAACAATGAACGAGTATTGTTCGTAGATGTGCGTTGTTAAAAATTTAAATAAATACAAATATTATAATAATAGCGTAAATAAACATTTCATGTATTTACGCTAAATGAGACGCTGATCCCTCGTCATGAAATTGTTTATCATGTCATCCTTGCAGCGTCTCGCGTAACAGCCCGTTACTTCAAAGGTCCACGAATTGCCGCCAGTTTGGTAAAATATATATAGATTTTGATTTTTTAATTCGCTATCCGACTATTACATTTTTATGTTGACACCTGACAAATGTATCTCCTTCAGAGGATTTTCCAAACAAATAATTTTTTAGAGTTGCCGCAATGAAGTTGAGATTTGAAAATATGTGAGTCTAATTTTTTAATTAAAGCTCTATTAATGAGGGAACACTTTCTGAATATATATCGACTATTCAATTGTGGAATATCAATCCTAATGTGAACAATTGATGCTAATTAAGAAGCATTTCCAGCTTCATACTCGACCGCATATATCGGAGCGCTTCAAATAATATGATATTAATAAAAAATAACTCGTCTTTCGATAAATTTCGGATTGAATTTTCCGTCATATTTTCCCATACGCTCAACATTAAGAACAATTCAGTAGAAATATTAGGAGGCTAAAATCATGAGATACAGCCTACAGGCTTCTTCTCAGTAATATGAACAAAGAGAACGTACAAAAATTTATATCTTCTTCTGTGTAATTTAGAATCACAAGCTAGCACAACCTTTTATCTACATTTCATGTGGTATATTGAATACCAACATACGGCACAAAGGAAAACTTTTTCTCTAAACAGATTAAATTTGGGACGTTTATGATGTTCCTTGCAAACACAAGAAGCGTGCCTCGCAAAGAATCACGAGGTCTATTTAAAATAGTTCGTATTCATACTGAGAGTCCGAATTAATTCAGCGTGGCATTTTAAGGTATTGTGGTTATAGTGCCGATTGGTTCACCAGAAAATAGATAGGGAATCATGAGGAATCGCAATACCGCTAATGCTGCTGATGTCATCAGACAAAATGTTAATACTCACGAGCGCGTCTTATTTTTTTCATAAGTGTTTTCAATTGATGTTAAAGCTTATGTTTATTTCTTTAGTTGCTTTTTCTATCAGACCCTGGAGTTTGACCGCATCCAACGTTCCAAGTTCTACATCCAACATCCCTGGATTTTTCTGACGACCACAGAGAACAATTAAAGAGTGGACTACGACAAAAAAAAAAGACTGTGGTAAAGATGTTGATAAAATGAGTGGACAACGACATCTTTACCAGAAAATTAACCAATACCGACCACTGGACTCCAAAATCGGAAGTCTGGTCCATAAGCGAGAAGAAATTAAATTTGTCAAGACTCACATTCTATCCTTAGGAAATTTCCTGCTGAATCAGATCGTCACGTTCAGGAACGAGGTTGACATTAGACAGGTAATTCTTCACAGGCAAATCATTATGAGCTCTTTAAGGAGATCTCGGAGGAAAAAGTTTATCAAACAAATACTAGAATGGTGGGTAGTGGTCAGACTAACCTCCAGCGTGGCCTGGGACTGTTACGTCCGAAACACCAAGGATGCGATGGGTGAGGGCATTTCCAGAATGTGGTCCAGTAACTATCGTGAACCATTGTATCTAACAGAAGTGAAAAATAACTTTATTCAAAGATTTACCGTTACTAGTAGTAATCAAGGTTATGTTCGAATGGAAATTTAAAGTTTCATTAATATTGTTATTAGAATGTGACTCTTATTAGAATATGACAGGACAAGAAAGTGTTGTGTTGGCTTACAGATGCATATTAATATACAGTGTGCAAGAGACTATGGGTGGGGGGTGTATAATAATATGTCGAATTCAATAGCTGCAAAGATAAGAGTTGATAGTAAATATTATTGTGAAACCTCACGGACAAGATGTTGGGAAAAATTCCCACCCGGACATCTTGAAGCTTATTATGAAGAAGTAGAGACAGCTCTGTCTTAATAAGACAGATGGTCATGTATAGCTTATCCTAAAGTAAACAAAGACGGTGACTTAAATTTCTTGGTACTTTGTGTCGCACCATAATTTCTTAAATATTTCATTAAGGTCCTTAGTTTTTGTGCACAATCCTTAATTGTTTTGTTTTTCTCTTCAGTCAAATGGTTCATGCGTTTTTCACCTCATTATACGAACATTTTGGCGGACCCATCGAGCTTAATGGCTGTTACCCCTTAAGGAAATATCAGCTTAATATTTAACCTGTGTTTGACCAGCACCTTAAGTTCTCATTAAAGCTTCGTTAACAATCTACTTTGATTGGCGGGTTATATTTCAATCCTAAAATCTACCATAACTCTTTAGCTTTACCTTTAGTGCCAAGATGTTTAATTTAGATTAAGGTGCTTTAAATTAGGGAACTGTGTTGACCTTCAAACTTTAATCTCTTCGGTTTGCAATCACCTCTATTGGCCGCGTATAAACTTAACAATAGAGACCTGCATATTGCCATTAAACTGCCTTCTTATCAGTACCGCATACGTGTGTGTAAATATTTTGGTTTAAATAAGGTGAGCTTCACCCTGAATTATTGTGATACTGAAAATCTGAAATATTCACAGTAATGTACTCGAATCCCCTTTGTTCAACTATACGTATTTCCTTGTTCAGTCTGTGTTCTCAAAACTCAAAGTCTCGGCCCGCATTAAGTTGACCTGGATGCTAGTTTTTGGAGGATTACCTCGAATCCGCTGCTTGTACAGCAGATAAAATCAAATAAAATTTGACTGAATTACCTTTAATTCTCGTTCCTATGCCTTGAATTCTTGTTACACATTATGAAAGAATTTCTAGAAGACGATAACTCTCTGCGTAGGGAAAACTTCCTTAAAAAGCCAAGCACAACGGAGAAACACAGCTACGTTTATTATAAAAGTAATATATGCAGGTCAATACTGAAAAAGCCTCTCCAAACTTATTAGAGGAAAAATGGTAAAAAATTGCCAAAATTAGATAACCTGCAGGAGCCTAACGAGCCTTATCAAACAGAGGGGCTCGTTGCTGGGGTCTGATTTCTGGCGTGGGTAGCACCACCTGTGTGGCTAAATTGGACCGCCTTGCGAAGGCCGACCCTGGCAACGCCAATAACTACATCGATCTGGTCCTCTTCGAGCTAAACAAGCTGTTGCCTCCGTAAGTAGATAAAGGAACAAGTAGATGAGGGAACAAGTAGATGAGGGAACAAGTAGATGAGGGAACAAGTAGATGAGGGAACAATGCAGGATACTGCGTAAGCCAGTATATAACCTTACACTCAGCTTAGAGTTATTCTGGGTCTGCTTGGCTATATACCTGGGGCCATACTTTCAAAACTCTCTAAGTGAACGTTAGTACTTACGCTCTAATTTATTTTCCTGATTGGTGGAATTTGCTTGAAAGGCCGTCAATGATTTGCTCATGAACTTACGATCTCTTAACTTTTTTTGAAAGTATAGGCGCTGATCGAAATCAGCTTCTGGTCAGAATCTCATCACTGACTTTATAGTGTCCTGAGTGTGACATGTGTGTCCTGAAAGTATGACAAGCTTGTCTTGAGCGTATAAGTGTGTCCTGAGTGTGACACAAACGTGTCCTGAGAGCATGATGACAAGTGAGAGTCTTAGAGCTAGGTTGCTCTTCAAGTCCGGCCGAAGCGGACATGAGCGGCTGATATACGCGCTTCCCTAGTCCTTGGCAGCACATTGGGAGAGTCAGGCCCGCACATAAATTGTGCTAGGGTAGATAAGAGTTTGACGTATCTACTATGAGTTCACTTACATATTTTACAGGCGAATTGACCTGCCCGACATCGGAGGTACGTTCGACCTGCACGACTGCTACGTATTCGGCCTGGACAACGGTGTGCACAGGTCGGGGGATGCAACGATGGTCACGGTCGAGGAAACTGTCAAGTTCTCGGCCGCCTTCTATATGAAAGATTTGGGACTTACCTGCACCTGGAAATATATGGTAAGTACACAATTATTTGCCGTTTTTTGTGAGGTGGTAATGAAGAAATTGTTAGTTGTGTTTTTTTACTGTGGCTGAGCATTTTCTGCTGATTTGGCACGTGGGCAAGACAGAAGAAAGGGTTCACACCATACTGTTTGGGATATATACACACAGGTATATTCATCCCATATACATCCAGTTTGAGGAATATGTATTTCTGTCAGTGTGATATCCTGAATGAAGAAGAGATGTTCCTGTGAAGGTGGATACATCCAGGTTGAGAAAAATGTATTTCTGTTAGGGTGAATATAACCATGTTGAGGATGGTATTTTTCTGGGAGGATGAATTTCTGGGGGGGCGTCGCTTGAAAACTGGGGGGCGCTTATATTCCAGCAGGGGTTGAATATATATTTATTGAGGAACATATATATAGTCCTATTTGGGTGAATATATCCTGGTTGATTGCCGCTACCTTGATGGCTGTCACTGAATTCTGAAAGTGATATAAATGTGAGCCTAAACCAACTCTTCACTGACCGCGAATCAAGCCTGTACTTGTCCTGAACTGAACCTGAACTGAGCCTGAACTGAACCTCGAATTGATCTTAAAGTGAGGCTGAACAGAACCTGAACTGAACCTGAACTGAACCTGAACTGAGCCTAAAGTGAGCTCAAACTGAGCCTGAAATGTGCCGGAACTGAGCCTGAACTGAGCCTGAACAGAGCCTGAACCAAACCTGAACTGAACCTGAAGAGAGCTGCAAAAGATGATAAACTTGAGCAGTAATTTAGTATTTATTACTTCATTAATCATTTAAGACGAAATGGAGCGACAGATATGAAGCAGCAACACGCTGCAAAAAAAAACTTTATAANGGACATGTTTCAGTACGTGGATGCTCATGTCACGGGACATGCTTCAGTACGTGGATGCTCATGTCACGGGACATGTTTCAGTACGTGGATGCTCATGTCACGGGACATGCTTCAGTACGTGGATGCTCATGTCACGGGACATGTTTCAGTACGTGGATGCTCATGTCACGGGACATGCTTCAGTACGTGGATGCTCATGTCACGGGACATGTTTCAGTACGTGGATGCTCATGTCACGGGACATGCTTCAGTACGTGGATGCTCATGTCACGGGACATGTTTCAGTACGTGGATGCTCATGTCACGGGACATGCTTCAGTACGTGGATGCTCATGTCACGGGACATGTTTCAGTACGTGGATGCTCATGTCACGGGACATGCTTCAGTACGTGGATGCTCATGTCACGGGACATGTTTCAGTACGTGGATGCTCATGTCACGGGACATGCTTCAGTACGTGGATGCTCATGTCACGGGACATGTTTCAGTACGTGGATGCTCATGTCACGGGACATGCTTCAGTACGTGGATGCTCATGTCACGGGACATGTTTCAGTACGTGGATGCTCATGTCACGGGACATGCTTCAGTACGTGGATGCTCATGTCACGGGACATGTTTCAGTACGTGGATGCTCATGTCACGGGACATGCTTCAGTACGTGGATGCTCATGTCACGGGACATGTTTCAGTACGTGGATGCTCATGTCACGGGACATGCTTCAGTACGTGGATGCTCATGTCACGGGACATGTTTCAGTACGTGGATGCTCATGTCACGGGACATGCTTCAGTACGTGGATGCTCATGTCACGGGACATGTTTCAGTACGTGGATGCTCATGTCACGGGACATGCTTCAGTACGTGGATGCTCATGTCACGGGACATGTTTCAGTACGTGGATGCTCATGTCACGGGACATGCTTCAGTACGTGGATGCTCATGTCACGGGACATGTTTCAGTACGTGGATGCTCATGTCACGGGACATGCTTCAGTACGTGGATGCTCATGTCACGGGACATGTTTCAGTACGTGGATGCTCATGTCACGGGACATGCTTCAGTACGTGGATGCTCATGTCACGGGACATGTTTCAGTACGTGGATGCTCATGTCACGGGACATGCTTCAGTACGTGGATGCTCATGTCACGGGACATGCTTCCGTACGTGGATGCTGCTGTAAAACCTAAAACTAATTCCGGCCAGAAATGTACTGAAATAAAATTCTTTGCATTTGTATCTCTGCCTGCGCCATTAACGGCCTTCCTCTCCTTGATTGCTCACTAATCTAATATCACGCAAGCTTCAATATAAAACTCCAATATTATCTAATATCACTCGCTCAATCTTAGATTCATATCCTAACTAGTCACTCTGCCACAAAAACCCTTCACAAATGAATGCATGTTTTATTATTAAACGGCTCAGGCTTCTAAGTCAAAGATTATAAGAGGCTNCATCAACGCACATCAATGCTCATCATCGCACATCAACTCACATCATCGCACATCATCGCACATCATCGCACATCATCGCACATCATCGCACATCATCGCACATCAATGCACATCAACGCGCATCAACTCACATCACCGCACATCAACGCACATCGTCGCACATCATCGCACATCAACGCACATCGTCGCACATCATCTCAGGCGCATCAAAAGTTGCAGGCAAGCTATGGGGGATGCGTAGTTAACACGTTGACTACGGTTGTTTCATCTTGTACTATTATTTAATTTTTTGTACCGTTTTTAAACAGGGTTGCCAGACGGTCATTTTTTCCGGACAAATTCCGTGATTTAGTTTTTTTCAATTGCGTTGGCCAGCTAAAATTTATGATAGGGGTACTTCTTAATTAAATTTTAAATACTGCGAAAAGAAAATAAATTGAATTTTAATAGCGGAACCTACAAATAAATTAGTATATATTGAGTTATCGGCCTTTTTTGTTCTCGGATTTGGCCGATTTAAGGCAACCTGAATTCTATACCACTACGTCATGGAGAAATACATTTCGTGGTACGCATATGTACCAATACGTAGTCAACGTGTTAAGCCGTTTACTCACCGGCAGACATGAAACATGAATGATTGTATAATTTATTGACTGAACTTGGTGTCTAATTAACTCATGACAGAATGGGAATAGCTAGGAATTTCGGGGTTACTTGGGATATGCAACTTAAAGCAAGTCTCTATCTCCGAATTGTAAGTTTTGTGCCTGAATACCTAGGACTTTTGGGATTATACTACATATATGAATATTCATAATTTATCTCCAAACAATATACTTAAGATTACATTAATATCTTATCCAGTTGCAATATTTAATGGAAATTGAGGCGAGGGAGCACAGACCATTACTGAATATGTCGTGAATGACCATCGCTCAGTCTAACGCCATCAGGTGACTTTAATTGAATTCCTTCACTAAGTCTGTTCGTTACGTCGCCCCTCGCAAAAAAAATGATTTTACGCCACATTTTTATATTCAAACTGTGGATATTAGATCAAATTTATAAACTTGTGTTAGAACTGTTATCGTGATGTAAAAAATTTGAACCCTGATGCTAGTAAAATTAACCGATAAAACCCCAATAAACCCTCGGTCTTCCACGCATTTCCGGATGAGATTCCTTGTGTTGGATAAACGAGCTAACCAAATTGGCGGGGATAGTTCCTAAAATCTACACAAAATTTGTAGCAATCTATCTTAACAGGGCCACTTAATTGGTTTACAACTTATTCAAAAGCCTCCCAACACGGCATCTGACGACGAAATAACGATGATGAAACGACGTTTCAACGACATAAACATCTAATCAACGATGTTTTAAGTCATTTGCCTGAAGGTCTTGATCTGTAGGCCGGCGCCTGATGAACCAACTAACTTCCTCCTGTCGCATGCCATTTATCAGCACAAGCGCTCGTTTCCTTGCTGCACCGCAGCGACACAAAATTAATGTGGTTCATGGGGTTACGATAGTGCGGGTAGAGCGTGTGGTCCTGCTCATGTCTCTCGAAGAGTTCACACACACACACACACACACTCGTTAGAGAAATTTGCGAGAAATTGTCAAATAGTGATGCATTTTTTGGTTAAATGTGCCAAAAAGGCACATACGTTCGCTTTCTGCTCATGCTTTGGGTAAAAAAGTGTGTTACTATTAGAACAATATGACAGGTCAATCACTGCGGAGAAATGTGCGAGAAATTGTCAAATAGGTATGCACTTTTTGGTTATGTGCCAAACAGGCGTATCAATTGAACGTTCGCTTTCTGCTCGTGCTATGGGTAAGAAAGTGTGTTACTAATAGAACAATATAACTTATTAATTTTTTTAGTGTTGTCTTGAGTAAAACTTGTTGCCTGGCGCAGCATGTATGGAGGCGGTGCCCCGACCAATGCAGCCGCAGATGGTTCAACAACTTTGGATGACCGAAGGGATAGGCTCCCCCCTCCATGTGGCATGACCGGGGTTATAAGCCCCCCTCCTGTTGCATGACCGGGGGACGAGCTGCAATGTCAAGGGGTTAAAGTACGCGGGTGTGAACTTTTTATGGCTATGGCGAGCAGCCACCGCCGTTAAAACTTCAGATCTTATCTTGCGTATGAATTGCCCCTCGGTCACCTAACGTTTATGTGGTCGATATTCAATAGCATTTTCAACTTATAAGGAAAAGCTGTCCAGGCTCCAATATTTTTGTAATGATATTTATATTTTGTCCTTGAAGGATACCCATGCATTGTGTGCACACATCTCAGATATTTTGTTTTGCATGCTCTCGATTTTACACAAATGAAACACAACTTTCTCCTATAAATGTATTTACTTTCACTTAAAATCAGCATTGTTTACTATCAGATTTATAGGAATGAATACAATGCTCTTAGCTGACGTGCTTTTCTTGAGTGGAATTGCTGATTGATTTCTAGAAAAAAAATCCTAGCCTAGAGAGGCCACTTTTTTTGTCTCTTGCCGACCCAGAAAACAGGCTTACAAATTCAGACACAATATTTCCTCGCGTTCTAAAAAAATTCAGAACTCCAATACTGGACGAGATTGAGACAGAAAACACAACAGACACTTTATCTTTTGAATTATCGGCATTGCCGAGGAAACTTTACAGTGTTAAAGTCATGCCAGAGCGGCTACAGGGTGCGCCATAAGTAATGGACCGTCGCGCTCTGCACCACAAACCCGACTTGTTACGGGCAGGTCTGGCCACGCAGGATCAAACACCCTATCTTGCAGCATGGGAATAACTGTCCCTTGAATAATTGAACGTTTAGTGACCTGCGACTGGAGCTGTGCATGCATTACGTTCAGCACGAAGCGGACAAAGAAGGGTGAACAGAATGCCTTCGTGCTGGACAACTTTTTTGTGAGCCACACTTGCAGTTAGCAACGGCAGTTAACACAGCACTGCAGTCACTTCTCATAACTGCCAACACTATAGAGCACTGCAATCTCTACTTAGCACTACCAATACTATAGAGCACTGCAATCTCTACTTAGCACCGCCAATACTATAGAGCACTGCAATCTCTACTTAGCACCGCCAACACTATAGAGCACTGCAATCTCTACTTAGCACTGCAACACTATAGAGCACTGCAATCTCTACTTAGCACCGCCAACACTATAGAGCACTGCAATCTCTACTTAGCACTGCAACACTATAGAGCACTGCAATCTCTACTTAGCACCGCCAACACTATAGAGCACTGCAATCTCTACTTAGCACTGCAACACTATAGAGCACTGCAATCTCTACTTAGCACTGCCAACACTATAGAGCACTGCAATCTCTACTTAGCACTGCCAACACTATAGAGCACTGCAATCTCTACTTAGCACTGCAAAACTATAGAGCACTGCAATCTCTACTTAGCACTGCCAACACTATAGAGCACTGCAATCTCTACTTAACACCTGTCTCTTATACACATCTAGATGTGTATAAGAGACAGCTATAGAGCACTGCAATCTCTACTCAGCACTGCAAACACTATAGAGCACTGCAATCTCTACTTAGCACTGCCAACACTGTAGAGCACTGCAATCTCTACTCAGCAATCACGGGTCCGAAAAATTCTTGCATTGATAATGGATAAGAAAATTCTTCGCTGATATACATATACTAGAGGAGCTCTGAAGCTTCCAAGAACAGCATGACAATAAAATCTTGTGTGGCGCATTATAATTCATTGTTATACATTGTATAACTCGCATGAGATGTTTTTTTGTAGCATGTATACGGCACTTGGTGGCGTGGTTCAAACATTCATACTTCAACGCATACATTTTATAATTGCGTGAACTTAAGCAGTATGTTGAACATGTTGAGCAATATATTGAATTTAAATATTATGTTGCCTGTACTCCTAGGGATTTAAATATGATTCCCCAACATCTGAACCTTTAGTTCTTGAAGTGATGAAGGACGATCGATGAGGGAACTTAACGTTTAATTGACTCCTTTTAATTACATCTAATTGACTATAAGATCAAAACATTTTAACTTATTTTAATTATAAGTATTCAAATAAGTAAAAATTTTAATAAATAGCTTAACGTCTAAGTAACTTTATTTAATTACATATAATTGACAAATAGACTAAGATTATTAGGTTTAATTAACTTACTTTAATAATCATAAAGTTCCCTCGCAGCTGACGAGGGGAGATGAGGGAGCTTAACGTTCAATTTACTCCATTTAATTACATTTCATTAACCAAGATTATAAGATTTAATTAGCTTAATTTAATAATCATTAAGTTCCCTCGCAGCTGATGAGGGGAGACGCAGGAGGCTCGACGGCCCTCGTGGACATCTCGTCAGCCATCTCCCTGCAGCTCACGTCTGGCAGCAGCCCTCAGCTTACCGGTCTGTCATAGACCAGCTAGACCACTTACATGCTAGACCCTCAGCTTACCGGTCTGTGCTAGACCAGCTAGACCACTTACATGTTAGACCCTCAGCTTACTGGTCTGTCACAGACCAGCTAGACCACTTACATGCTAGACCCTCAGCTTACCGGTCTGTGCTAGACCAGCTAGACCACTTACATGCTAGACCCTCAGCTTACTGGTCTGTCACAGACCAGCTAGACCACTTACATGCTAGACCCTCAGCTTACCGGTCTGTGCTAGACCAGCTAGACCACTTACATGCTAGACCCTCAGCTTACTGGTCTGTCACAGACCAGCTAGACCACTTACATGCTAGACCCTCAGCTTACCGGTCTGTGCTAGACCAGCTAGACCACTTACATGCTAGACCCTCAGCTTACCGGTCTGTGCTAGACCAGCTAGACCACTTACATGCTAGACCCTCAGCTTACCGGTCTGTGCTAGACCAGCTAGACCACTTACATGCTAGACCCTCAGCTTACCGGTCTGTGCTAGACCAGCTAGACCACTTACATGCTAGACCCTCAGCTTACCGGTCTGTGCTAGACCAGCTAGACCACTTACATGCTAGACCCTCAGCTTACCGGTCTGTCACAGACCAAGTAGACCACTTACATGTTTTGCTAGACCACCTGCAGGGCCTTGCATAACATTTGCAGGCCATGCTAGACCCCTGCAAGTTCTAGCATAGCATTTGCAGGTAGTACTAGACCCTGCAGGTAGTACTAGACCCTGCAGGTAGTACTAGACCCTGCAGGTTATGCTAGACCCTGCAGGTTATGCTAGACCCTGCAGGTTATGCTAGACCCTGCAGGTTGTGTCAAGCCTTGCAAACTCTGCCAGACCCCCTACAGAGTATGCTAGACCCAGCAAAGAATGCTAGACCAGCTAGAGCCTCTGCAAGTTATGCTAGACCCCAATAAATTGTGCTATAATAAAATATAAAAAGCTCGCAGACGCTGAGCATTGGACTGCTCTTCTGCCGGGTATCACGGGAGCGACGGCCGGCATATCGAGGCTGTGCCCGCTGTGAATTGCTGAAATATTATAGAAATAAAATATTTATTGTAAATGCTATTCTATTGTAATGCTTAAGTATTAAGTCTTGGCTCACCGATTGCTTGGCGTAAATAACTTCTACATTTTTCGCTGGCCCAAAAAGTTTTAATGATTCCAAAAACTTTCAGTTGACATATACGAACAATAATGTTGTTTTTACTTTAATATAGTTATAATGCTGAATATTTACATGTTCTTGGACCGTCAAAAGTGTATAATTGTTTGCTTGTCATCGTACAAGAAGTAATAGTGGTTCCTGTGTGGCGTAGTGAAGGGTGAGAACTGAAAGACAAGTAACATGTCACCACATGCTCAGACAAGTAATATGTCACCACATACTCAGACAAGTAACATGTCACCACATACTCAGACAAGTAACATGTCACCACATGCTCAGACAAGTAACATGTCACCACATACTCAGACAAGTAATATGTCACCACATNACGTCCACACTCGTCCCAACACGTCCACACTCGTCCCAACACGTCCACCTTAGCCCCAACACGTCCACGCTAGTCCCAACACGTCCACACTCGTCCCAACACGTCCACGCTAGTCCCAACACGTCCACACTCGTCCCAACGCGTAAACACTCGTCCCAACACGTCCATACTCGTCCCAACACGTCCACACTCGTCCCAACACCTATACTATCGCCTCGACACGTCCACCCGTCCCTACTCGCACGGCGCAGATTTTCAAACTTCGGAACGAAATTGTTCAGGGTTTCTGAAGAATTCTTAATAAATCCTACGCATAAAATGTGATCTTTGATTTCCACCGATCTTATTTACCTTATCTAGCAGATTTTTCAGCTGAATTTTCTTCTCTTCTTGAAATTTCGAACACTGAAGTTATTTGGGGTCTGATTCTAACTCCCACATTTGGGGTCTGATCCTAACTCCCACATTTGGGACCTGATCCTAACTCTCACATTTGGGGTCTGATACTAACTCCCACATTTGGGACCTGATCCTAACTCCCACATTTGGAGTCTGATCCTATAACTCCCANCCTGATCCTAACTCCCACATTTGCGACCTGATCCTAACTCCCTGGTGCGAGCTGGACAGCAAAGATAAAATGTATTATTGACGATACTAACCAACGTAATAAATAAAATAATAGAGGAAGTTTTAAAAAAACAGTTAAGATAATAAGACACTTCATAACGAAGTGAATGGCAAAGATTTGTACCCACAAGTGTACCGTGGAACTACGTCGACTACGTCCGAGGCTCGCCACTTCGGTACAAAAGGAAAAACATTCAATAGAATTTATCAAACATCGAAGCATAATTAAGTGTTTAATTAATTGTATATCAGTAGTTTAGAAGTTAATGTCAGTTACCCGTAAACTAATTAGATAATCAATACTTACCACTAGATAGTTAACCACTACTCACACAGAAATTTTAATGGGTTTAATTGTCCTATTAGTGACACACTGTCTTACCCATAATAAGAACAAAGAGTAGAAGTATTGCACTGATACGCCACAATATACTTGGCCAAACTGGGTCAGGATGACCCAGCAAAAATCGAATTTTGAGAATAGCTTTTTCACAAAATAGTGAAAAGTGCAGGACAAAGTCCCACTCATTCCTCTGAGTGTCTCCTGCAGCCATATGTGTCCCAGGGGCGTCGTTCACCGCAGAGGGCGCGGCGCCCCTTGCGTCCTTAGAGGGGAGCGAGAGGAGGGTGTTCTCTACTGCACTCACAGAAATGCGTGAGACTTTGTCAAAATAATGATTCTCAGTTCGTCAGTGCGTGGCTCCTACTGACTCAGTTTTGGTCATGCGTAGGTACGTATCAGTGCTACGTCCGGCCTCTGATGGAGCTGTCGGTAGGGAAGTGTGTCTGTATTGGAACAACTTGACCCATTCTTTTTCTGCGTGTACACTCACTCAACTATGGCAGACATGACAGCATGTCTTCGCCGCAGACATGACAGTCTGTCTTCACCGCAGACATGATAGTATGTCTTCACCGCAGACATGACAGCATGTCTTCGCCGCAGACATGACAGCATGTGTCTTCACTGCAGACATGATAGTATGTCTTCACCGCAGACATGACAGTATGTCTTCACCGCAGACATGACAGTCTGTCTTCACCGCAGACATGACAGCATGTGTCTTCACTGCAGACATGATAGTATGTCTTCACCGCAGACATGACAGTCTGTCTTCACCGCAGACATGATAGTATGTCTTCACCGCAGACATGATAGTATGTCTTCACCGCAGACATGATAGTATGTCTTCACCGCAGACATGAAAGTACGTCTTCACCGCAGACATGATAGTATATCTTCACCGCAGACATGACAGTCTGTCTTCACCGCAGACATGACAGCATGTCTTCACAACAGACATTACATGACAGTCTGTCTTCACCGCAGACATGACAGTATGTCTTCACTGCAGACATGACAGTATGTCTTCACCGCAGACATGACAGCATGTCTTCACTGCAGAGATGGCAGTCTGTCTTCACTGCAGACATGACAGTCTGTCTTCACTGCAGACATGACAGTATGTCTCTTCACCGCAGACATGACAGTCTGTCTTCACCGCAGACATGGCAGCATGTCTTCACCGCAGACTGAATCGCGGACTAACTGAATCTCAGTCAATCACCTGACTGACGTGACTGAGTCAGTCAGGCACCTGACTGAAGTGACTGAGAGTCAGTCAGGCACACGACTGAAGTGACTGAGAGTCAGTCAGGCACACGACTGAAGTGACTGAGAGTCAGTCAGGCACCTGACTGACGTGACTGAGAGTCACGTGCACGCCGCTGTCACATGCAAGACGCGTGTATGCTGTATGCCCATTATGACAGCCCCATTCATCTTCACGCCTTCGCCTCGTCTCAATTGACTTCAGTCACATGCACAAATTTTGAATGAGAGGAAGCCATTTTTTCGCATACACCAATTTAATACGAGTGAGGAACAATTTATTCACATGAAACAAGTTGGATGAGTGCGAATATTTTTTTTTTGCATTTCGAAATTTTTGAACATGTTAGAGCAAATATTTTCCTCAAGTAAAAATATTGAACAATCGAGAATTAATTTTTTTCGCATTTGCAGCATCAGGAGGATGTGTCATCAGGATAAATGAATAATATTTAAAAATGCATTTAGCTGAAAATATATAATATATTTAAAGTCGATTTTGGCGCCAGAGGTAATTTTGATGCAAAACGTACATTACTTATTGAACCAGCGCTCACTTATTACTTACTTATAGTATTACTTATTCAACCAGCGTTTCAGCCTAGGGAGAGCAGAGAGCGAGGAAGGTGCGAGCGAACATACTAGTGTGCACTCGTTTATTTAATTCAAATTAAATTTTCGGTAAAACTAAAAGAATACAAGTTGGTCCAAGGTATGTTTTTTTAAGTAAGTACCGTTTTGGAATTAAGAAAAGACGTGCAAAGATATCACTTATAATTTTATTTTAAATGAAAGCCTGGACTTTAATCTACTTTCTACATAATTTCCGTGAACATTGAGGCACTTGTCATAACGTGGCACCAGTTTTTGAATACCCTCCTGATAAAATTCTGCCGTCTGACTTGTTAACCACTGCATCACAAATGTTTTGACTTCGTTATCGTCTTGAAGACTCCGACCGCCCAAGTGTTTCTTCAAAGTGCATGTGATGCATTCGATGCAGTGTGATGCATCGAATGCACTTGATGCATCAAACACTGCACGTACTCTTCATTTGTGATGCAGTGGTTAACAGGTCAGACGGCAGAATTTTATCAGGAGGGTATTCAAAAACTGGTGTCACTATGACAAGTGCCTCAATGTTCACGGAAATTATGTAGAAAAGTAGATTAAGGTCCAGGCTTTCATGTAAAATTAAATTATTGCGATATCTTTGCAGTCTTCTTTTAAATCCAAAAAGGCACTTACTTAAAAAACATGCCTCGGATCATGTATAAAATTTAGGAGCTTTTAATTTTAAACTAAAAGCTCATGCTTTGAACCTTACTGACATTCAGTCTAGCCCCCAGAGAACAGCGCCACTGACATTCAGTCTAGCCTACAGAGAACAGCGCTACTGACATTCAGTCTAGCCTCCAGAGAACAGCGCCACTGACATTCAGTCAGTCCCCGCACAGGACCAGTCTCGCTGACATTCAGTCAGTCCCCAGGACCAGTCTCGCTGACATTCAGTCAGTTCATGATAAGGTTAGATCACTTACTCGATGCATCAGGAAACGCTCACTGATAAGAGTTTACTGATACGATCAAAGATCTCAGCATAGTGAACTGAGCGTTTCCAGGAAAACGTTCAAAGTTCTATTCCGGGACATCATAAGAATTCAAACATTCATTATAGTTTAACATTTTTTAGGAATTCTTACTTGCTTTATTTTTCAACATTATGGGAATTCTTTTATTTCTTATAATATTCTACATATCAGCAATTCTTAAATTTTTCTACATTTTACGGAACAATTAAACTAAATATGTCGAGCTCTTGGATATTACAACATCGGAGGAACATAAGCCAACTCAAAAGGATGAAGGAAACAGCAGAGTATAATCATTATTTTAGGCACTGGTATATCTACAATCGCTTTCATAATATAATTATACAAATTCTTTACTAAAGAGATTGAATTCTTCGGGCCTGGATGAGCTCATTTAGTGATGTATATTCATTAATGTATTATTTTATATCAAAATTAATGTATAAACTTCTTGATTGCAGCCATGAGAGCAGGGATGTCTGGCCCGTGACCTCCATGCTGCCGCCAGACCCCTGACCTCGACATTACCCCACCACAAAAACTGATATCGAGAATTTCAAAACAAACAAATATTACTAAGTAAATTCACTATACTATCCACATTAAAATTATATAAAAAACATCTCTATATAAAGTAAATTCACCAAATATTCATTGAAAAAATTTACCATTTCTTCATTAAGTCAAGGTTATAATGTATGAACTATTTCAGTCAGCTGGTGCAACAGGCCAACCAAGTCATGCGTGTCGCCGACATGTTCTAACGGGCAGGTTAAATTCCGATGGCGTAAGGACATCTCTCAATACATTCATTATTACATTAATAAAGTAATTACATCACTCAGAGATATTTAAATTAACTAATAATTAGAAAACAAATCCCGAATCGCGAGTCAGGTTTGTGTGAATGAAAGGCGTTTTTTATACATCAACTTGATTGAGTTTGTTAAAGTGACGCAGGAGTATCGCAACAGGAGCGATTTATTATTCCTTTATTGTGATACTCGATGGAAAAAAGTTCTCCAGAAATGTACCGATTAATATAGACTAAAATTTGAATTTCTGTTTATAAATGACTGGTCAGTTTCTATCATTTTTGACATGTAAAAATATTTTGAGCATTTTATTGATTAAATATTGTATTTGCGCTTTAGTTTTGAGCATCTGCATGTAAATATTCCTATAATCAATACTGAAACATTTTTGCTGATCCTTTTTCTGTCAATTTAAAGGTATATTAAAAAACGAATAAATTCTTGGCATTAACTGACCTCATAAATGACCTCATGCTTCTCAAGGAAGAAATCCCTCACTGCGGACCTGTCCTCACAGGACCTCACGCACCAGGAGGTCCCTCATTGCGGTCCTGCCCTCACACGACCTCACGCACCAGGAGGTCCCTCATCGGTCCTGCCCTCACAAGACCTCACGCACCAGGAGGTCCCTCACTGCGGTCCTGCCCTCACTAGACCTCACGCCCTATGAGGTCCCTAACTGCGGTCCCACCCTCACATGACCTCACGCACCAGGAGGTCCCTCCCTCACTGTGGTCCCGCCCTCACATGACCTCACGCACTATGAGGTCCCTCACTGCGGTCCAGCCCTCCACGACCTCACACACCAGGAGATCCCTCACTGCGGTCCCGCCCTCACAGGACCTCACGCACCAGGAGGTCCCTCACTGCGGTCCCGCCCTCACAGGACCTCACGCACTATAAGGAGGTCATGCCAGAGACGCGAGGAGGTCACAGACGCGAGCGAAAGAATTTGTCATTGAAAAAAAAACTAAATGTCGAAAATGAGAGCAAAATTCCAATCAAAATGCTTTATACTACGTTAGGAAAAACATGCGTTATTTTACGTTAGGAAAAACATGCGTTATTTTACGTTAGGAAAAACATGCGTTATTTTACTTTAGGAAAAACATGCGTTATAGTACGATACGGAAAAACATGCGTTATATTACGTTAGGAAAAACATGCGTTATATTACGTTAGAAAAAACATGCGTTATAGTACGTTACGAAAAACATGCGTTATATTACGTTACGGAAAGCATGCGTTTTTTTACGTTAAGAAAAACATGCGTTATTTTACTTTAAGAAAAACATGCGTTATATTGCGTTAGGAAAGACATCTCTTACTAGAAAACATTCATTCTATTACTAGTACTGGATTTAGAATGACAGGTTTAGGAATCACACAATACATAATTGCCTGAACTGTCGTTCCAGCGCAACGCCGGGGTAGTCTACCAGTTTATGGTATATATCAATTAATACAGCGGTTTAATTAGTCCACCAGATTTTAGTATGTTTTAATTAATACCGCGTGCTTAATTAGTCACCATTTTTTTGTATATTTCAATCAATACAGTGTGTTTAATAAATCTACTATTTTTTAGCATATTTCAATTAATACAGCGGTTTGACTAGGCTATTAATTTTTAGCATATTTCTGATAATACAGCGGTTTAATTAGTCTATCAATTTTTAGTATATTTCAATTAATACAATAGTTTAATTAGTCTATTAGTTTTTTAGCATATTTCAATTAACACAGCGTGTTTAATTAGTCTACCAGCTGATAGCATATATCAATTAATACAGCGGTTTAATGCCTCTCTTCGTGCTGCCAGCGTCACACATGCCAAACACCCGCTTGCTTGGCATCCAGCTTAGCAGTTCATGTACAGCAAAAGAGTAGTAACAGTTTTCTACATATTCGAACTCAATGAAATTTATCAGCATTTGTTTAACACAATTACTTGGTGAAATAATATAAAAGGTAATTTAAACTAATAGGATTAAGGATTGATAGGATTGAACTATGCATCACGGTGGTTAGATGACCTAATTCCATATGGAAGAGGCGCCGCTTGAAAGTGACAGTTATACTGAAGGTGAAAGTACCCACACTGCCTGTCTTGGGCCGTGAAATAACGTCTTATATTTTCATGCTTGTCGCCACAAACTTAATATTACTGTCAAAACTATTGTCTGGAGGTACGTTCAATCAAGGTGGAATGGAAAGCCGGGTTGGTTGGCTGTGGAATGGAATGTCGGGTAGGCTGGCTGTGGAATGGAAGGCCGGGTAGGTTGGCTGTGGAACGGAAGGTCGGGTAGGCTGAGTGTGGAATGGAAGGTCGGGTAGGTTGGCTGTGGAATGGAAAGCCGGGTAGGTTGGCTGTGGAATGGAAGGTCGGGTAGGCTGGCTGTGGAATGGAAGGCCGGGTAGGTTGGCTGTGGAATGGAAGGCCGGGTAGGCTGACTGTGGAATGGAATGCCGGGTAGGCTGACTGTGGAATGGAAGGCCGGGTAGGCTGACTGTGGAATGGAAGGCCGGGTAGGCTGACTGTGGAATGGAAAGCCGGGTTGGTTGGCTGTGGAATGGAAGGCCGGGTAGGCTGAGTTTGGAATGGAAGGCTGAGTAGGCTGGCTGTAGAATGGAAGGCTGAGTAGGCTGGCTGTGGAATGGAAGGCTGAGTAGGTTGGCTGTGGAATGGAAGGCTGGGTAGGCTGGCTGTGGAATGGAAGGCTGGGTAGGCTGGCTGTGGAATGGAAGGCTGGTAGGCTGGCTGTGGAATGGAAGGCTGGTAGGCTGGCTGTGGAATGGAATGTCGGGTAGGTTGGCTGTGTAATGGAAGGTCGGGTAGGTTGGCTGTGGAATGGAAGGTCAGGTAGNTAGGCTGGCTGTGGAATGGAAGGTCTTGTAGGCTGGCTGTGGAATGGAATGTCTTGTAGGCTGGCTGTGGAATGGAATGTCTTGTAGGCTGGCTGTGGAATGGAATGTCTTGTAGGCTGGCTGTGGAATGGAATGTCTTGTAGGCTGGCTGTGGAATGGAAGGCCAGTTAGTCTGACATTCTCTAGCCTGCGCTTGCGGTGCTCCAGGAACTACAGGAAACGCCACGGCAAGGTCGGCGCAAGCGCCTGTAAGGCTGACTTATTTGTGCGTCTAACGTTTTGTACGTTTAATGTATTTGTACTTTTAGCGTATTTGTATGTCTAGCTTATTTGTACGTCTAACGTATTTGTACGTCTAACGTAAATGTACGTCTTGCGTATGTGTACGTCTAACGTATATGTTGTACATCTTGCGTATGTGTACGTCTAGCGTATTTGTAAGCCTAACGTATATATACGCCTAACGTATTTGTACGTCTAACGTATCTGTACGCCTAACGTACATAAAGCGCGATAAAAATTCACGTAGAAAATATTGCTCGTCGAGGAATTCAACAGTTTTTAAATGCGCTGCTTGCTGAAGCTTTCAGCAGATAATGCGCTGCTTGCTGAAGCTTTCAGCAGATAATGCGCTGCTTGCTGAAGCTTTCAGCAGATAATGCGCTGCTTACTGAAGCTTTCAGCAGATACTGCGCTGCTTGCTGAAGCTTTCAGCAGATATTGCGCTGCTTGCTGAAACTTTCACGAGCTTCAGAAGCCGTGAGGTTCTCTGCTGACTTCAGGGCCCACACAAAGAAGGAAGGACCGGCCACTTGCCCTGGGGAGGGGGAGGGGGAGGCCCTTAAAAGCGAAAGGGCTCGCGGGTCGCCGTTCACTCGACTGCGGTTGCTCGCTGGCGTCGCCCGCGTCCTTCTCGTCGCCCCTCGACCGTCCGACCGCAGCTGCCTTCTGCAGCAGAGTATCAGGGATACCCCAGTATCAGTGATACGTTTTGTGAAGTGCCTTCATGACCGCAGTGTCCTTCTCTTAACTTTCTCTTGACTGAAGGAACGAATGTTCATTGCAAGTGAAAGGTTAGATACGAACTTCCTTTTGGAAATATCGACAATCGACTGAGACATCGAACATTATTAATGTGCGACGAATGATACGATTTGGACGAGTTTTGAAAAGTAATCAGAAAAAATCAATAATAGTGATTTAGTTTTGAGGTGTGAAGATTTCTTCTGTGAACGCCTGGGTATCTGCGCCAGTTTGGGATCCCTTTCGACCCCCTGTCAAGCAGCGACGCGTCAACATGAGGTGAGTGAAGGGCTCTGTGATACCCGATATGTGAGCTATAGATGCAGCGTTATATGAGCTATATATGTGCCATTATGTGAGCTATAGATGTACCATTATGTGAGCTATAGATGTGCCATTATGTGAGCTATAGATGCAGCGTTATGTGAGCTATAGATGTTCCATTATGTGAGCTATAGATGTACCATTATGTGAGCTATAGATGCAGCGTTATGTGAGCTATAGATGTGCCATTATGTGAGCTATAGATGCAGCATTATGTGAGCTATAGATGCACCATTATGTGAGCTATAGATGTGCCATTATATGAGCTATAGATGCAGCGTTATATGAGCTATAGATGTACCATTATGTGAGCTATAGATGCAGCGTTATGTGAGCTATAGATGTTCCATTATGTGAGCTATAGATGTTCCATTATGTGAGTTATAGATGTAAAATATATAAACCATGCGGGCACCGATGAATAAATTATAGATGCACATGGCAAGGCTTCGTGCAGGACTTAATGCAGAAAAGCAAGGCGAAAGAGAGAGCCAGCCGTCCTGCTCAAATTCGATAACAGTTTAAATTAAGTTATTCTCAACTCGAATAGTTACGTCCGTAAACTATCATCTGAGGATGTTTTTGTGCTAATCAAGTGAATTATTCCTACCATTTTTCACGACTTCGATGCTAGTGGATGATGTATAGATGTTTGCAATATTAGATACTAATTAAATTGGGTTTCAATTCAAAAGCACAACTCGAAATAAATTGGAAATTGTTGTAAATAAGTTATCTGTTTTTTTTTGTAAATCCACCGCCTAATGAAAACTTTGATCCTTTAATCTGATAAATCGCTTTATTGGTGTACGATACGCTAGTGAACAATTATCAAATTCAAACTAAATAAGCTCCTCAGCTGCCATGTTGATGAGAATGGGGAATCTAATTCAAACCTGTTACTTCTTTTGTCCTGGAAGACCACAAAGTTCAATATATCTGCGCTCGTGTATGTGATTTGCTCGAGTGTGTTGGGTGAAAATTTTGCAGCTGAGTGAAAAGAATATTCAGAGAGATTACGGCCCTGAAAAATGCGTGGCAAGGCAGGAGTATTACTCGAGGCCGATGACCGTATTTTTTGAGATGCATCTTGATTAGAAGTTCAAGAAGCAAGCATGTTTGTGCACATAAAGCATGCATTGAGTACACAAGTTAAAATATTTGTTATGTTCTTTTAATGATGACTTTTGACTAGAAATACTTTCGCTTGTAAAGGTCAAATCAGAATGAGGTGATGGAAAAATAAGACAAGAGTTCTGAGAAAAATGCTTGCGCTCCTTTGAAAAACAATTATAAGAGTGCAATCAATTTATCAGTCATGATTTTTCGCTTCAATTGAGCCATGAGTAAATGAACGCAACTTGATGAATTACGAATAATAAATCATAAACTGATGCATCATAATAGACTGAAGGCTTGGTATCATGTTTCTTATGATCTTGGATGCAATTAAGTGAATATGGAACATTTCTCCTCCTGCGGTCGGGATAACTCTCCGGTCTGCGTTGAAGTCCTTCAACTTGATATTCTCGAACTCTTCATTCACAAATTCTAATGGATAGAAAAAAATTATATCTTACTTCTTTAAGTAATAATGTTCATTCTTCAGAAACCACATAGTTTTTATCGACAGAGGTTTGCGTTTAAAGCTTAAGTGCTCTTCAATGCCTTGGGTATAAACTTTACGAAATTGGGGAATTTTTACGCAGGAATCCTATGCTGATATTTTTAATTGAAATTTTTGAACTGCCTCATGTCTACTAAATTTTTGTTTACAGTTTTTCATGAATCAAAGTATTAACCAATATTGAGATATGGCTAACGGGGAGAGAATAAGATTCATGATTTCTTATTCTCTCCCCGTTATTGAGAAATTATTCGCATCACTTTATGCCATATTAAAAACCTAGCTTACAACATATGGCATAATTGAATTGATTGCTCACGCCTTATAGATTATTATATAAATTTTTCACGGCGTTGAATTTAATTTACCTACTAGTTCATTTATAAGAGTTTTCATTTTATTTGCGATAAAAATTTGTTTCTTTACCGGTTTTGATACATAGACTGCAATGGCTTAGCTGATTACAGTGTATTTCAATGTAAGTCGCCTATATAGTGACAGGCACCTATAGTGTGAATGAGAGGCACCTATATAAAGTGACAGGCACCTATATATGTAGAATAGCTGAGGACATAGAACTAGACGGAAGAAGAATTCGCCGTAGGCGTTAACGTCAATTTCAAGTTTTCTGCAATTTAGCCGTCGCCGTTCAATAGAATCAATCTTTTTTAACACAACTGAACCAAAACTTCCTACAAATTGAGAACAAAGCAGTTTCCTAGTCTTTACGTGGCTATATCATAGTTCTCATCAGTATTATTCTGTGTTTTTTTTTCTTGACGAGCGGCGTGTTTAATACACACTGTTAGAAAAATTACCGTTAACGGTATTACCGGCGTTTCGCAGTGGCCGTTCGGCACGTGAAAAGAAACACCGTGTCGCCGTTTTTATTCTAATTTAACACTAGAAATCCGTAAAACGTCAGATAAAAACGGCGAAACAGTTTATTTTCACGGGGCGACCGGCCACTAGAACGCCAGTGGGACCGTTTTTCTAACAATACAGTGTCTGCTGAGTGGCGGCTCGTGTGTCATGTAAGCTACAGTTAAATGCATAAGAGAAGCGCAACTCTATTGTAGGGCCGGGCCTGAGGAGCCTTCGCAGTGTTACATTCTTGCGCTGGGCACCTTTCCTTTCACGCTAGTGCTCCTTCACCATTAGTGTTCTAATTATTATTGGTCCTTCACCATCGATGGTTCAACCATTACTGATCCTTCACCATCATTGTCTTAACCATTGGTTGTTTAAACATGAGTGATCTCACGATTAGTTTTCTTCACGATAAGCGGTCGAGCCATTATAGTGACTCTGCTTTTCACTGATGTAACTAACCATTTGTGATGTTCGTCATCACGCAGCGGTCTAACGATCAGGTCTAACGATCAGTGGTCTAACATTATTTCGTATGAACTTCCTATGACTCACATGTATGTATGACAGCCACTGAATCGTGATGAGGCAATGACAAGACTGCGCTAAGATTACGAGAAGACGTAGAGATTTATTTCTTCTGCATCCACGGAAATCTACGCATAATATCCTCTTGATTGTCCTCACGCTGTAGAAAATCCAGTGAGATGGATTGGATATTATTTAAAGACGTATACATGCATGAAACTTTTAATGGATTCTAGGTGGACGTAAACGAAAAACACTTCTGTGTAGTTCTTGCTATTTCTTTAGAATCCTTCATTTGGCAAGAGGATTGTAACGCTAAATAAAATTTATTTTTCCTTTCTCGTTTTAAGTATAATTTTGATCAATTCCAAGCCTTCCCTAACGATACTACTTCAGCATATATCATATTGATGCCTGTGTACACTGTTCAGTGTTCCCGCTGCTCGCACACCCAAGCGTACACTGTTCAGTGTTCACCCTGTTCCCACACCCAAGCGTACACTGTTCAGTGTTCCCGCTGTTCCCACACCCAAGCAAACACTGTTCAATGTTCACCCTGTTCCCACACCCAAGCGTACACTGTTCAGTGTTCCCGCTGTTCCCACACCCAAGAGTACACTGTTCAGTGTTCCCGCTATTCCCACACCCAATAGTACACTGTTCAGTGTTCCCGCTGTTCCCACACCCAAGCAAACACTGTTCAATGTTCACCCTGTTCCCACACCCAAGGGTACACTGTTCAGTGTTCCCGCTATTCCCACACCCAATAGTACACTGTTCAGTGTTCCCGCTGTTCCCACTCGCAAGCGTACACTGTTCAGTGTTCCCGCTGTTCCCACACCCAAGCGTACACTGTTCAGTGTTCCCGCTGTTCCCACACCCAAGCGTACACTGTTCAGTGTTCCCGCTGTTCCCACATCCAAGCATACACTGTTCAGTGTTCCCGCTGTTAGGAATATATATGACGAGTGTGAGGGAATATATATGACGAGTGTGAGGGAAAATACACGTTTGTCAGGACCTCTTCCATCAGACCTCCTCAAGTGAAGAACTTTCAGGCAGATTGCCTGGAATTTTGGCCTGTTTCAGGGCCTGGAAATGCCTTTTTATGGCCAGTGCGCTGCGGGAAAAACGGGCAAAACTTACGATAAAGTTGACGTCTGTTTTCGATAGCAGTATTTACAGATTATTACGGATTTACGGAAAATGAAGGAGTGAATTACTGTAGATCGCAAAGGTTATACTATCAACAATAGATCATTGGTCAATAATTAACCGTATTAACGGATGTCTCCATTGAATTTTAATGGTGCAGTTACAGCAATATGCAACAGCAATTATGATGTTATGTTCTTATTATATTATTATTTCTGATTATTTCATTTTAGAACAATATATTTCTGATATTATGATATTATTTTATAAAAGAAAAAATTAGTATATTTTACTAGAATATCGTAACGAGTCTAATGGATTTAAGATTTTCAATTATTATTTTTTTTATATTACCAGCTATATAATACAGTGTCAGAAGCCTCGACCTTCTATTTTTGCATATTGTGTTCCATTTTTACAGATGGTTTCATGAATATTGTACTTGGTGTTATAAATAATATGCATTTAAAAATTACTTTTTAAAGACAACACTTCTAAAGAATCCAGTGTCTTGGATGTTACACATGCACAATGAATTTCTAATTTTATTTTCAAATATTACAAAAAATTATTTTCAAACATTTTTTAAGATATAAAAATTTCGTATCTTTTCAAAATTATTTATTCTGTCAACTGAGTCATGCATTGTCTTTGACTTTATGCAATTGTGCAAAATTTCAGATCGATTGGACAGGTCAAATTGTGTCATATATGGATTATAAGACTTGTAGCAGATGAAATTATTTTTAAATTTTTTTAATAGTGAAAAAAATGT